GATGCTGGCGTAATATTTATGATTAGTGTTGTTGCAGTTTTTTTTTTTTTTTTTTTTTTTTTTCAGGTGAAAAACAGATTGATTTGGTAATTCTTGCAAAAATCAAATAATTTTCAGATTTTAATGAAACTTTCAGAACATATTCACAAATGAATGAAATTATTTTTTAAATAATTTTCTTTTTTTTTTTTTTTTTAAACAAAAATTTTGAGGAATTCAATTTTTTTTTATTAGTTTAGTTAAAAGCAGGACTCTTTGGAGAATGTAAATCATCAATTCTTTTTGTAAAACAGTTAACCCATTCACCAAAAATCTGCACTGAATTGTAAAATGAAAAATGCAATAAAACTGTGGCATTATTTAGTTATTAGAAAAGCTTTTAATTGCTTTTATAGATAGATTTATTAAGGACACTCTTGTCGCAAGAAGAAAAATTTTTTCAATGATTAATTTTTACAAGAAATGGTTTCTTTTTTTTTTTTTATTTTAATTAAATAATTTATAATATTATAAAATCATTTAAAATTCTGCATTACTTCAAGGCATTTAGGTAATATTGTTATTAAGTGAAAACTACATTTATGTATCAAAAATTAAAAAGTTCATAACAGTTGTTTGTAAACAAAGAAATTATGCACACAAAACATCTTTCACAAATAATAAATACACAAACAGCACAATGCTAAGTATATCTGGAAAATTAAAAACAAAACGCAAATTACACCAAAAATATCATGGAAAATAAGGAAAAGATCATCAGCCTACAACAATCAATCCAAACTTTGCTTGGAAGAAAAAATAGCTATTATTACCTTCCCAGGCCCAAATAAGTTACTAAATAAGCTCATCTCAAGATGCAGTCACAAAAACAAATTTTTACTATGTTACTTAAAAATTGAAAACTGAAAAGAATAAACAGAAATAAACAAAATAATATAAAAAATAAGTAAATTAAATTAACCCAAGCAAATAATAAACAAATTAACAAACCACTCCTGTTAGAATAAACAAAATAGAACAAATAAAAATAGAAAATAAATACATAAAATACAAGTAAAAATAATCAGTCCGAATAAATAAATAAGCAATAAACAAATCAAGAAACCAATCCCACCAAAATAACTGTTAGAATAGACTTCAACAATCAATCCAAAAATTGGACTAAAAAAATACGTATAACTGCTATATAACAATAAAAAAAGATTACTACATTACTCAAAAATTGAAAACCAAAAAGAGTATATAAAAATATACAAAATAAAAAAAAATAAAATATAAGCAAATAAATAAAAGAAAAAAACAAGTAAAAATTAATCCAAAATAAATAAATAAATCAATGAACAAATTACAAATCGCTCCCACTAAAATAATCATTAGAACTAATAAAAATAAACATAAATAAGTATAATAAGTGACCTAAGCAAATCCCACCCTCCCAATTTTTTTACCATGTTAATAAGACATAGAAAACTGAAAAGAATAAACATAATAAAAAATGAAAATAAAAAACAAGTAAAATAAATTAACCTAAATAAATAAGCAAGCCACTCCCGCCAAAATAACCGCCAGAATGAATTAACCACAATACACCACTGGCCCATATATATAAATAATCGAGGAAAAATCCAACACTTGCGGCCTGATGATTGCATCTAACATGGCCTGTCGCCTCTGAGTGTTGACTTCAATGTGGGACTGAAAAAAATAAAAACATTCAACCAGACATTCACACAATCACACACTCATCCAGACACAACAACAAATATGGAACATGCTCTAAATACAAAATGCATCTCCGCCTAATCTTGGACTGGATTGCTTAATGTTCAGTCTAGATAATCAAAATCTGTTCACCTAACCACTGTCAAATGTCTGCTTTCACTCAATGTGAAACACTTTGCTCGCTATTTGTTTTTTACAGTGATTGGGAAGGGGTTGGAATGGGTGTTGATATAGATGTGGTTCAAAGTGCTGATGATGTAGGTGTCTTTTTCAGGGGATTTGTGTTGGAAGGTATGTGGGACACAGATTTCATCATGGGTGGGAGGGGTCAATGATTTTTTTAAATGTTGGGTAAGTTAAGAGGCCTGTTGCCCTCAGTGGTAAAACTTCTTTTTCTGTAGGTAGTGTTAGGAATTCTTCAGCTTCTCCTTTTTGAATGACAGGTCATACTTTGGTTGAAATTCCTTCAGTGATATTTTGGCCAGAGTATCACCTTTAGAATTTGGTGGAAGGTGTGGGATTGTATGCACCTTTCCCTTTGTGGGCTAAGGCCCCTCTGTCTGACACTTTCCTCTATCTCTGCCAATGACCAGCCATTCCCCCTTTTCCTTCTCCATGTCTGCATGAGTGCCAGGTGAAAGTGTTGTGAAATGAGAGCCCCAAAACGAGACCAAAACATGTGTTTAACCACACCAATCCCAGCTGTTGGCAAACCCATTGCAGGTGCTGCAGAATTAAGTCTCAGCCAGTGGGATTTTGGTCAAGTGGGGCTGGTACTCTAGAGACCTTCTTCTCTGGGCAGGAAAAGGCAACGTAACCAGTCTTGTCATACTTCCAGCTTGTTAGTTTTCAGCTGGTCACAATGACTGGTATTTTCTGACCACCGACATCCAGACAGTTGGGGACAGAGATGAAGGCCTCACAATCCAACATTATATTGAAACTCCATCCTGCATTCATGAAGTCAGAAGTAGTATCTAGAACCTGGCCATATTGTGAAAGATAGACACGAGGAGCGACCTCAAACACTGCCACCTTGGTCCATTGCCTGCCCTTGTGCTCAGTCTGGATGATTAAATCCTTCATAATTAGCTCACAACTGACTTCTGACATGCACTCCTCAGGTGTAGGTAGCAGTATGTCACATGTGAAAAAGCCCATGTCTTATTATTTGTTGTGACTTCACCTCCAAGGGCACTAATGATTTGATGGTGTCTTTCATGGAGTGACAATTTTTGTGCAAATACTTTTCCACCACAAAGACTGACTATTCTTTTCTCAACCTTCTGTAATTCTTGGAAGTCAATCAAAAGTTCATCTTCTTTTATGAGATGTGCCTGACTTTGCTCTCTCCCAAAACTCTGCAATGATGATACATTTTGGCAAGGACTTCCTCCAAAAGGGTGATTCCCCAGCTGTTGTCATTATTCTCTTGTCCATTTTTAGCCACCACATTTTCTTTGTTTTTGAATTCCTTTTGGCCATTATTGGCCACCATATTTTTAATGTCTTGATTCTTCTTTTGACCACCATATTTTTTTTCTTTTGACTTATTTTGTCAACATTTTCTTGCATCTTGGTTTTATTTTCTGTAGGTATTTTCTCAGGTGGGTTTGTCTTGAAGGCAACCCCAAAATGGTTCTTTTTTGCATACTAACCATTGTAAATGCCAAACAATTTTTTTTTCTTTTAAATAAATAAAACAATGAAGAACAAATACAAAATTTAAACAAGTGTTACCAAAAGCAAAGCCTACATACAGATAGTAAAATAAAACCTTGTGTAACTACAGTTATACCAGAAAAAAAGAAAAACAATTTAAAAAAAAAATGTAAAAAAGAAAGAATTAAGGCAGAAATAGGAACTAAAGCAAAAGTAAAAATCTCTCCTAAATAAAAGAACTAGAAAAATGCAATAATTTGGCCAAAGCCAACAATGGTTTGGGGAAGAAAATAAAATAAAAACTGAAAAAGAGGGGGAAATGAAACAAATGAATCAAAAATTAAAAAGTGGCAAAAAATATGAATCAAAAGTTTTGTCAAAGGATAATCCAAGAATATTGAAACACATCTGGCAAGTAGCCTGATTAGAAAAGTCAAAAGTCTTTCCACTCATTGACAAATTTGTAGTCTTTATATATGTTTAGTATTTTCATGTCCAGCTATCAATAGTTATATCAGGCATGCCAGTCCACACATACATGTTTTCCCAATTGCAAATGGCAGACTAAGCCTTTTCAATCCCCCAGTAAATGCATTGAATGTTTGTCACAAAGTAATAAAATTATACAAGAAAACTTAAGTATAATATAAAAAACAGAAACTCTTAACACCTGTCCAAATTTCTAGAATGAGTTATCATTATAATCAGACTAATGCCCTCATTTTTCACAGCATTTTCTCACAAGGCCCTCCAATATTTTTCAGATGTCTGTCAATTTAGATAACCTTCAGAAAATTTCAAACTGAACTCTTTATTAAATTTATGGGTAAATTGTTCTTATGTTTAGATGTTCATAGCTAGGGATATTTCATCTCAATTAATTGTGCTCAGTTAAGACTTCAGTAAGGTTAAAAAACAAAAAAAAAAGAGAGTGGAGAGAGCCAAGCTTGATAACAAAGGTTGAGGAGACAAGAACATTAAGTTTAAGGCTCAAAGTTCTAATTTCCAGGCAGTATTGTGCCAAGGAACAATGGCTTAAGATTGGTTAGTGAATTTGGTGGCATAGTAATTGTGAGTTCAGTAACCTGGTCCATGTAATAGATACATTCAGTCACTGGAAACAGGACATGCAATAACTGAGCAGTACTAAAAGGGCCATTAACAAAGATATCCCAACATCTACAGTAGTACCTGCCTCTATAGATTTAAGAATTCAGTTTTTAACAACAGCAAAAATTTTGAGAGTAACAACAAAGATGAGGAAATTAATCCAACTGTAAATAATCTTAATAACTCATCAACATATCAATTGTTCTCAGATTAACCAACATTCCAGATCATTCTCCGTCAAAAAAAATGCATGCACACACGCACCACTAAACCTTAAAACTAACTTTTTACACAGCCTCTACAAAAACAATAGCCAAAAAATCTGGCTCTCAAAAATAACCTAACTCTTGGTATTCTTGAGAAAATTTTAAAACATAAGCAATTTATTAAATGAAAACTAAAGTTAACTTTTTTTCCTTTGTAAATTTTGAGTTTTTATTTTCTTTAGCTTTATATTTCTGAAAATCTTTGGAAATTTTTTCATTTTTTTTTTTTTGTACTTCTAGGACCATACATTATTGTGATAACTCAGAAAAGCAAGGTTGGGGAAATCAATGGTCATGCCGTTTGGAAAATCACAGATACTGAAATTCATTCATATAAACGCACAACTTTGCATCTTACTGAAAAGCAGGTATGTATATATTTTATCAGTTTATATTCACCAAGAATAATTAGATATTTTGAATAACCAAATATGTATTTAAATAATTTTGAGAGTAATTTATCAAAACTATACTGTAAAAGACTATATTTCAAAACAATAAACTGAAAACTTATTATTTAAATATATAAAACAGGCATATATAAAATAAGTTGTTCCTTAAAATATATTGGTGACACTTTCAGAAACTTAAAAAAATACCTATTTCTGAACATCTCTGACATGACAATGTATCAAATGCATTAGTTATATACAGAAAATTATATACAGAAATAATTTCAACCACAATTTTCATCTAAAAAATTCTGTACTTATTAAAAGAGAAAATTTACTTAAACAAAAAGTTCTTGAAAGTGCAATTATCATTTCTTACCAAAATATTAACTTATGCCTTGGGTTTTTTCACATATCTGCTTTCTCAGGCCAATACACTTATATATGACCATAAAAACTTTTTTAAAAATGAAAGAAAATTGTTAACTATTGACCTTTTTTTTATAAATAAATTAAAATTAGAAACTGATTTTTGGCAAATTTTTTAAATTTAGTGATATTGTTCTTGATTAAGGGCATGCATAATTTGGAGGTACCAATCCTAAATCTCTTTTCCTCATAGTTGTAGTCTTATTATTTGTAGTTTTAAAGCTTTTCTATAGACTATTTCATCAGGATTCTTTCACAAAAAATATTACTATATTATCCCACGAGATATCCAGTTTTTAAATCAAGTAACATTTGTTATTTGGCTCGGTGTCAAAATCCAGTAACTCTCCAGTCAGAAGTTCACTAACCAGAAATCATTAAAATTAGTTTCTGTACCTGTTGCCCTCTGTTAGTTGGCTTTGAATCATGACATAGTGTATTGGCACTCCTCTTTTATCAAAGCTTGTAGAACAATGGAAGCATCTTTTTCTTGTTGGAGGCCAGAACACTTAAAACTATGAACTGGGCTGGATGTTTGGTCTTGAAGGTACACTTGATGTCAACTCTGAGGTACTGGTTGTTTCAGCAGTTCAGAACAGTACCTGCTATAAAAAATGTTATCATTTCTGCAATTTTGGTCTTGAAAAGTGAAATCCTGCAGCTACCCAGCTTCCATTTGCTGGATACCAATGCTTATATGGTCTTGTTGACATTGTAGACAGTGTGCAAGGACATGCCAACTATATTAGGAATGCTTTTATAGTCAATTTGTGCATGAAGCAGGACTTCACACTTTTGCATTTGTTCTGTGGAGCCATTTTCCATAATATTTCTGAAAAATCTGTATATTAATAGCTGACAAGTATACACTTCATTCTGGATTTGATTTTTTATCATTTGATGTGGTTTTTAGGAAATTAATTTTTAAATTTTACAAGTTTTGCTTTCCGATTCTGTAAAGATTTTCCGTTTCAATTTGCTAATACTCATAAATCAAATGTTTAATGTCTATTGCAGATTACAGATAATAGAGTTTATTATTCGATGATTGAGAGTGTTTTGAAAGCAAATGGATTCTACTTTTCTACTACATTTGACCTGAGTCATTCATTGCAGCGTTTGGCCAATACTAGTCCAGATTTTGTTAATATTCCACTCTTTGAAAGGGTAAGATGTTTTTCATAATTGAAAAAAAATACTGTTTTTTATTTTATTGATTGCTTAAAAATTTTAAATGATTATCGTATGTTTTTAATTCATTTTCAGTAAATTTTCATTTCTTCTTATATGTAATTGTCAAATATGTAAAAAAAATCAAAAAAAAAATCAGTCTATTAAGTTTAAACTTGGCATTAGGAGATTTTTATAATGTAACACTTATTTATTTCAATTAACTTAAATAACTCATTAATATTAGATAATAGTTCCAAACCTGTATTATAGAAGAAATAAAAATAACAAAATAAATATGGTTACATTTGAGTGGTAAGAAATAATCACGAGAAAGTTTTTGTCACTTAACTGTATCAAAAATTAAGTAAACCAAAATTAAGTTGAGATATTATTTTCAGCTTTATTTTAGGAACAAAACCAAATTTAGCATTTGGGTTGTATTTAAGTTTAACCCAAGTTGTATAGCTGCAGGGATATGAAACCAACTGATTTTTAAAGATGAGACATTGCTCTACAAGAAGGTGCAATTTTCATTTTTTTCAATTTTGTATGAAAGACAACTGCAAACACTATTTTAAGTCCACCAAATTGATGAGTGTCCTGTTTTCTTTGAGATTGGACTATTTTGATATGTGTAGGGAGACAATGTAAAAAAGGTTTGAAAACACTACAATGAAATTATCAGTTTTGAAAATGCAGTTAAACACAAAGGTATTGTTAAATAATGACATAATTTAAAGAGATGTGAAATAAAAACTAATCATCATACAAGAAAAAGAATTGCGGTTTAGAAAAGAGAAAAGATTTTTTTTACACATTAATTTTATCAAAATGGCCTTGAAAATTAATTGGGATATCAGCAATTTTCCCATGGTATCACTGTTAAACCCACTTTAAATTGACCTTATGTCATTCGATAACAATGTGGAAAAAATACCCCTGATGTAACAACTTTAATATTTAGGGTTTTGAGTGGGCACACACACATAGATACACATTTTCTCTCTCTCAAACTTAGAATTTTATTTATTAGATTGAGATATGTAACAGGAAAGGTAATAACAGACCAAGATATATTGAAGTTAGAGACTTGCTAACAAAAAGCTAAATATAAAACAAAAAAACAATGTGCATTGATTCTATTCTGTGGATGTTCTGTGAGTTCTGTACATCATGTTTTGTCTCAGTTATAGATTCCTAGAATCTTAGCTTATCAAATCATAAGTCTGCAAGTAAAGTGTTATAAACAACTTACTTTAAATAAAGACAGAGAAACTTTGTAATAACTTGTATCGCTTGAAAAGTTATGCTTCATTTTCTGATTATTTTCTCTCATCTGAAAAATATAATAATCTTTTCCCTATTTTTCATCTGTAAAAATATAATAATCTTTTCCCTATTTTTCATCTATAATCAGTAACTGAATGCAGAATCCTAGAATACAGGCACTAATAATATAAATGTATCATTATTTAACAGTTATGAACTAAAGTACATTCAGCTTTAGGAATAAACAAACAAAAAATTAATGCTGATATTATCAAATACTTAACTAATTTATATTATAATGTTATTGGTGAGTCAATTTTGTATTGGGCAAATAACTTTTTATTCCTTTTAGGCTGATCCTCAATTTGTATGGAATGGTCACATTATGAGAGAACTTGCTCAACAACCAGAACTGGGAAAATTCTGTTTGCCTGTTATTCATGGATGTATCTTTTGCCAATTATAGTTTCACTTTATTTTTTGATTTTTAATTTTTTTAAATTGTTTTAATAAATTATTTAATTTTCATATTGATTATTTTCCCAATTATTACATTGTCAAATTAATAATTTCTGTATTGATGAATGTTTCTTTTACAAAAACCCTATTGTAATTTTTCCTTAATTTCAAATTCAGTTTTATCAATAAGATCTTGTACGATCAATAACAAAGCTCTGGATTACATTTTAATTTCTCGGCGATCAGTATTTCGAGCTGGCACAAGATTTTATGTCAGAGGGCTGGATTCAAAAGGCCAGGCTGCCAACTTTGTTGAAACTGAACAAATTGTGTTATATGATGAACACAAATGCTCTTTTGTACAGGTATGCTTTATTTTATAAACTTTGTAATAATAAAATTGACAAACATCTGATATTAAAGGTATTGTAGCATACTAGGTGGTACTTGAGTTTTTGGCCTAATCCCCTAAATCTGACCAGTTGATAAAACATTTTTTTTTTTTTTTATTCCTTTCTTGAAATTTTTAGCATCCTATCTTATATGATTATATCTGCTGCATAGAGTTTTTTTTCTCACTATTTACATTATTCAGACTATTGTCCTCATCTTTGTCACCATTTTCTTACAACATTTTGGCCATTATATGCTCCGGCCTTCTTCAGGTGGTTGGAATGTCAAACTGAACCCTTTATTTTGCTCACTGGGGTAGACTGTTCTAGTTCCACGTGCAATGTCTAATGGATGTCAGTTATCAGTTATCACCTGCTTAATTCCCTCTCCAAGTTCTCCACTCTTTGGGTCCTGTCACACCTTTATCCACTGTGCCATGTGTCCTTGAGGACATCTGTATATGAATTTCTGGGTATTATAAACCTAATGTCTTCAGCAATCATTTTTTACCAGTGCTCATATTACAATTTTTACTGCTATCATTGCATATTTTTACCAGAGGTCATACTGCAATTTTTGTTATTATCGCTTTTCTCTGGCACTCCTTATTACTTGTTCCTAAATTGTATTTCAGCTCAGGAGATTTTTGTGGCCTAGCACCTCAGTGAGCGAAATAAAGAGTTCAGTTCGACATTCCAACCACCTGAAGAAGGCCAGAGGGTACAACAGCCGAAATGTTGTAATAAATATGGCGACAAAGATGAGGACAATAGTCTGAATAATGTAAATAGTGTACATAATACCTCATCTCAGAAATATAGACAGATACTGGAGTTTTTTCTGTATACAATTAAAATAATCTCATTTCTACCAAGACTTATATTGAAAAACAATTTATTTCAAAATTATTAGAGCTTCTTTTGTTTTTAATTATTTAGATGAATTTTTACTTTTTTTTTCCACTGTTGACTCACTTTGGCCAGTATTCTTTTTCTTTTTCTGATAGTTCCAAATTTAAGGTAAAAACAATAACTAATTTTTTTCATAGAATTTAGTGATGGAATATTGAAATTAAGATATGCCAGCAACCAGGGAAGCTTGTACTTCTACATTAAACTAAATGAAAACTTATATAAAATGCTTTCATAAATCCTGAACAAATAAGTTGGACCATCTCTGATTACAGGATTGAATTTGAACAAAAATAGAATAAATGCAAAAAGTATAAGATTCCTGAGAGTGAAGATTAATATGCTGAAACTAATGTCTGATTGACTAGATTTCAACAAATAAACAGATTGCAAACATAATGACAAATTATGGTGTTTGCAGACAACTTAAACTATCTCTTTAGAAAAGGATTTTCAATCTGACATTAGGATGTTCTAGGATTGAATTTTGTTAACCTTATTGATACATTCTAAAAAATTATTTTCTATACCATATTCTAATTAACTGATAAAAGAAAAAAGAAATATACAGTTAATTATTGAGTACCAGAAGGAGAATAGTGCTATGGGTTGAATCCAGACTGATAAGTAGAATTCTTCTTCTTACAAAAGAAGAGGTATTTGACTTCATGACATTATGGTTAACATGATTGGGGAAGCACCTAAGCTAAATATGTATCAACATGAAAGAACCCTATCAGAGCAAATAATTCAAATTGCGAAAGAGCTATATCTGTTTCATAGATTACACAAAGACATTTGATAAAGTACATTCCAAAAACCTGCTTGAAATATTAGAAATACTTTACACAGGGAAGATATTAAAGTATTCCATAACATTTACTGGGAACAAATAGCCTGTATGTGGATAGATTGAGTTTAGAGATTACATAAAAATAGAAAGAGGAGTAAAAGGACACTTTTTATTTTTTTTATCAGATTTATTTAATTTCCACAGTGAGACAATCTTAAACATTTTTTTTTTATATAGTGAATCAGCAAGCATCTTATGAGTTATATAGTCATATAATACAACACAATGTTGAATAACATTTTAATATTGAACTTTATATTTTCAATAAATTATTTCCTTTTTTACAACCAAATTTAAGTAGATTTATTTAATAAGTAATTTTTAAATCCCATAAATCTATATGGATGTGAAACATGGACACTGTTGGCAGATACAGCGAGAAGGATCCAAGCATTTGAGAACAAATGCATGAAAAAACTTCTTGGAATTTTCTATTGGGAACAACAAAACCAATGAGTTTGTGCAGAAAAGGGTTAAAAGTTTTGTGGTGTGGTTTGGACACATTACAAGGCACAACAGCCTGTGCAAGGCCATCATGCAAGGCACTATTGAAAATGGACATAGGAGAGGGCACCAATGCAAAAACTGGTTGGACAATGTCAAAAAATAGACAGGTATGACTGTACCAGAATTGCTGATGGTTGCTGTTAATAGACTATTATAGAAAAGAGTTAGTGTGGCTTCTGCATTCAAATCCATCCTACAATTACAAAAGCCAAGGAGATGATGATGATAATGATGATGAATTTTTAAATTTGTACATAAAATTTTAAAACACTCTTTTGTATCACAAAACCTTTATGTCTCTGTCTAGCATCATAGGCACTAACAATCAGTTAAAAGTTTCAGCAGATAAGGTTTCAGATTATTTAAATTATCTGAAACAATATTTTCATTATAAAGAAGCTCATTTCTATCAAAAATTTAGAAAGAAGTTAATTTTTGAGGAAAACAAGTTAAAAGTTGAAAGATTTATAAAAATTTATGTGGAAAAAAAATGCAACCCATTGCCCATTAAAAAAAAAAACATTTAGAAATATATTAAAAGTTCAAATTTTTTTTTTGATTTTTAATTCTTATTTATTATGAATAACATTACAGAAATGAGTGATCCAAGTAAATGCAGATTTTGAGCTGAAATAGAATAGAAGTTATACTTTACATGAAAAAGTTATTTCTTCAAATACAATTGACTACAACAGCTATACACCAAAATTAACCAATGATAGATCTGAAAATAAATTTTTACATGCTAAAAATCTTAAATATCTTCTACTTACATAGTGGATGTTTTAATAAATCAGTAATATTCAAAATAAATATTAGTAATATCATTTTGATTATATACATAAGTTAATATATTTTGCTTAAAAGAAAACTACACACAATCATATGGCTTTACAAATGCAGAATTCTGAAATCAGAAAACTGGTTTCTGGTTAAATTGAACATCAGTTAATAGAATAAACATTGTAAAATCAGATTCAACATGATATGTTCTGTTTAATATGGAATCCACTGTTAATTTGTTTTTCTACACTTTATAAAAGAAAATTCATTTTTATGCTGATTTTTTTTTCTGTTGATTAGGCGTTAAACTGCTGCAAAATAATTAGCTTTATCTTTTATTTCTGCATATTATCTACTTTATAATGAATGATAGAATTTCTGTATTTTAGTCTTTTCATATTTTTCTTGTCCCTTTTGAGAAATAAGCAATATATAAATTCACCTGATTAAATTTGGCCATAAAAATATTTGTAAGAAAACTGCATCAAATATTGTAATAAAAAATGAATAAAAAATCTGAACTGTACTGAAATAAGTGTTTAAATTGTTTATAGAATTTATATATTTAGTTAAGTTTTTTTTTTTGTGGGTGGGTTAGCTAACAGTTTACAAACCATTTTCTTAATTTATTTTTTAGAAGAAACTATTTTTTAATCCATTCTTGGTTGAACTGGAAACTTTTCAGCACCTCCTGGCATCAGATTTTATAAAACTTGATTATCTGATTAAATGTTACATAATTTAAAATATTTAAAAAAATCTTTTTCAGACTCGTGGTTCCATTCCATTGTACTGGTCTCAACGCCCAAATCTCAAGTATAAGCCAATACCAGTTATAAGTAGTACTGCCAATCATGTAAGTGTATTGTTTTTTTGTTAATGTATTTTTTTTTTTATCAGTATTAACTCTCTTCTCTGCTATACTTAAAATATGACAATATATGGTAAATGTATATTTTGAAATTATTTTGCCATAATTTGTTATTTCAGATGGATGCTTTTCAACATCATTTCGACACACAGATTTACACATATGGAAAACAAGTACTTTTAAATTTGGTAAGATGCTTAATTTAAATTTTCTTAAATATTTCTAAATGTGCTGTGTACTAAAAAATTTTAGAATTAAAATTCATTAAAAATGAAGTATGTTCAATCTTTCAGTAATTGTTTTGTAGTGCCTTTTTAAACTGTTTTCTTATATATATATGTGATCATATTTATAGCAATTAGAATTAGCTAATAATTGAAATTTCATTAGTTGCATTTGTTTCATAGAAAAGTTTTAAAGTTGAATTATTTATGTTGTGGATTATGATCATGAGAGATTTACAAAGAAAAAATTCATAATCATAAAATTTTTTGATGATACTCTGCTGAATTATGAATTTTTTATGCATGGTGCAAGTAAAACTATTTGCAATTTAATTTTCTATCATTTAAATGTTAATTTCTTCTTGAGAATTCTTGGAATTCTAATTGCTAATGATAAGTATATTAAATCTGTAAATGTTCACATATTTCATTTCAACTGCTGATGTGTTAGTGGTTATTACTGAAAGAGTTTATCAAGCTTTAATTAAGAATAGTGAAAGGCTGTTGCTTTGAATATCTTGGAGGTGTTTAACTGGGTTTGACACGCTGGTCTACTTGACAATTTGAAATATTATGGTATTTTTAGACAAATTTTTGATCTCATTCTGTCTTTCTTATCAAATCACGCAATGAAAGTTTTGAACAGCCACTCTTCTTGATCATTTTGTGTTAATGCAGGTGTCCACCAAGGCTCTATTCTTGGATCTACATTATTCCTAATTTTCATCACCAAACTTCCAATGTCATGTCTGAGTCAGAACCATCATGCCTAATCAGGCTTCCCAGGTACCAAGATGTGTACTCATAAATGACGACTGTGAGAAGGGGAGTTTGCAAAGTTTGCTCACATGTGAGCTGAAATTCTCTACTCTTATTTTATGAGTTTAAAATGAATTGTTGTAATCACTGTTTAATAATAGCTGAAGCTCATTGGCTCTTTTTGGTATTGACCAGGTACAAATCTAGTTGTTGACTAGTAGTTGAATTTCTCATTACTGAAAAAATTACTTTCTTCCTTCAAGATCAAAAAACATAGAATTTAAAATATTTTTTCAGTTAGGTGAGTTTAAGTTTTTTGTTTTATATTTATTTATTTTTGTTTAACAGCTATTTGCATTTCTAATTTACGAGAGGCACAAAAAGTAAAGGAGAAATTAGTTGTCAGTTCATTTGTTGATCATTTGAGAAAATCATGTATTAAAAATGTGCACATTAATATTGGATAAGTTAAAAGAAAAAACAAGAATTCATAATGAATTATGAAAGAAAAAATGTTTACATATCTATAAACAACTTGGAAATATTAAAATCTTGTAAAAAGTAATGAATAATACCTGAGAATAACAATTAAGTATTCAGTCACAATATTACAATGCACTTTTAAGATCTGATAAGTCTTTAGGGTATATTTTGTTATTCATGTCTTTATTTCCTCTCTTTTCACTAGTCCGAGAAGTACATATTGGTGTTTTTAGAAATTTGGATATTTTAATTCAGGACTTAGTGTTCTCCTTTCAAGTCAATGTGCGTGTGTGTGTATCTTCAAATTTTCGTCTTCTGTAAAAATGATGTTAAAACAGATACAACAGTTCACAGCTATTTATATATAGTATTTGGTGATATTTATGAAATAATTTTTTTAATGACTGAACAAAATTCAAGTGCTGACTTTAGTTGAATTTGGTCTCTTGAGTAACACAACATAAAAGAATGGTTAAATGAATGATCTAAATTCTGTACAAATAGGATGTTAGTAAACTCAACCATAGTTGTAAAAATTATTTCTAAAGATTTTATGTAGGATACTTTGATAATAGTAAAATGTATTCTCTCAGCAATATTACTACTGACTGCCTACATATGAGGGCACAAGATCTATTACTAAAATGTTGGACAAGTGATAAGAGCAGTACTTAGTAGAACACTGTTGTTAGTGTTATAATAGCTATAAATGTGTCTTATATAGTCAAAATAAAAACCGAATGTGATATAAAAAAGACATACCATTTTTTAACAACAAAAGGAAGAATGTGGTGATAAAAACAAACAGTGGTATGTCCAAGTGTTTGCTGTTATATTACTTTGTAAATAATGTATATAATATTACCTTGAGTTTCTTAATGCTTTATAAAATTAATTTCTTTCTCTTCAGATTGATCATAAAGGTGCTGAAGATTTGCTTGAGAAAGCATTTGCCCAAATGGTTGTAAATGCTGGTATTAAAGATATCAGGTAATTCACTTCTGAAGTGTTGAAACAAAAATATATATATATATATATATATATATAAGTTGTAGTTTCTGTCTGTCGGTTTGTTTATCAAATTCCTCCTAGGGTTTTGAAGATACCCATATAACTATATATATTCTGAAACTAGATTACCCAGGGTGCTTGGATAAACACCCACTGAAAATATTTTTCCCTTTGATTTAAATTAAATTTAAATTCGAACAAGGGGATGACTCCTATCCAAAATATAAAAGAAGAAAGCCAGAAGTCACAGTGACAAGATCAAAATGAGACAAATATGGATGTCAAGTTGAGCAAGAAATCACCAATCAGTGGGTAGTGCCTTACAGTACATATTTTTTGTGACAATTCAAATGTCATATCAATGTTGAAATCTGCTCATCAATTTATTCAATAAAGTATAGCATCAAATACATATTAAAGGGGTCAGATGAAGCTGTTTTGCACAAACCCCCATTGAAAATTTTTTTTCCCTTTGATTTGAATCAAATTTAAATTTTAACAAGGGAATGACTCCTATCCAAAATATAGGAGAAATCCAGAAGATGGAAGTCACATCAGCAAGATCATTGAGTAATATTGAAATGCATCATTTTTCTCCACAAATTATAACAAGGATTTAAAATCAGTAATTTTCTTACAAAAAAAATGTGTGATATACAGCAAGTTATGGGTAATTTAACCTAGTCAGTTATAAAACCACTCTTTTCCTTCCTAAAATGATATATTATTTTCATTTTATAACCTAGTCAGTTATAAAACCACTCTTTTCCTTCCTAAAATTAATGAATTTTGTTGATAATAAATAGTATATAAAATAAATAACATATTTCTTATGCCTTGTAAAATTTTGATGTGTAGATAAAAAACATTGTTTTGAATAAAAGTAATACTTGTAAATAATCAATATTTGATTATAAAGCAAGAAAAAAATAATTGATTTGGTTCATATTTTAAAGTTTGATAATTTTTTTTACATTTATGTTTCTTATACTGTACGTGATTATTCTGCATGCTACGTTGTATATTTGAATTTTTTCCTGTTTTTAGTAGGATATTTAGTTTTTTTTAAATAATTGTTTTATAGAGCATTTAGCAACTCATTGATAATTCAAACCAAATCGAAATGTGCATTACATTTTGTATCCCATTATTACTTTCTGCCTGTCAGTATGGCCTAAATATGCCAACTGCATTCTCTGCAGAGAAATACCCCCCACATACACACACACATAAGTTATCAAAAACTTGAGTATTTTTAATGGCATGTGTAAACTAATATTTCATAACTAATCAAAAAAAATTACTTAAAAACTGAAATGAAAATTTGCTTAAGATTTTTTCTGTCTTTAATGTCACCAGTGATATATTATTTTCATTTAAAATATTCATATTTTACAGATATGAATCCTTTGACTTCCATCATGAATGTCGACATATGCGATGGGACAGGCTTTCTATTTTGATGGATAAAGTAGCTGAAGAGAGAAAACAGTTAGGGTAAGTTTAATTTTTTTTTTCTAGTAATAAATCTAGATTTATTGTTTTTTTTTTTTTGTCTCTGGTAATCAGATAATCAAAACTGAATAAATAGGTATGTTAATGGTAAATTTAGGTTAAAACTTATCTCTCTAGGTTAAATAGAACAATAATACCTGTTTTTTTTGGGGGGGTGGGGTATGTAAAGTCAATACCTGCTTTTTTTAGTTTAGGATAAAGGTAATCTTTAAATCTTTACAGCTGTATAAGTTTAAGGAATTTGTGTGCATATGTAGCTTGGCAGTAAACTGAAAACTATGTTATAAAAACATTTGTTATATACATTCATTTCATCTCTATTTCAATACAAAATATATTATTTTCTTGTCATTATCTATTAAAAATGTATTGTTAGATTCTAAAATGAAAAGTCTTTACAGCAATAAAAACTTATGAATTTCATCAGTCAAATGTAACTGAAGAGCTAGAATCTGCAAAATGCTGTTTTTTTTTATTTTTTGTTTTTTTTTGTTTTGTTTTTTTTTTTTTTTCAACCTGAAAGAAAGGTATTTATCTTTAATATGCATCTATATTCCTGTAGTTCTGGCTAGCAGCATCAACAACACAAAAACAAGTTCAATTGATGAAACAAAACTTGGGATATTAATGAATTTTCACATGCATATCGCTAAGTTTTTTTTTGCAAAAAACACTTCAAATGAATAAAATAAAGCTCTAATTATTGAAAGTAATGTTATTTTACAATGAAACTATTTGTCAAGTTTAAAAATATAAATAATGAAATTTAAATCGGTATTTTTTCTGAATCTGTATGATTTTAAAATATTTAAAACTACTGTAAAGATTTTCCATTCTTTTATTTTTATTTATTTTTTTAATCATTTCACAAGCAAGGTAATAAAGCCGCTAAAACAAAGGGTTACTGAGAGTGAAAGAGTCTGGGGGAAAAAAACATTAAGGAGAGAAGGCCGGTCATTGATAAAAATTAAGAACAAAGTTGCTCCAACGATAGAGACCTGGAATTCACCCACATTATTGTAAAAAAGATATAGAAGAGTGGCTGTTCAGGACAATTTTCATTTCACAATTAGATAAGAAAGATTGAATAAGATCAAAAATTTTTCCAGACATACCATAACCATTCAGTGTGAAGATGTGGCAAATGCAACTCAGTACAAATGCAGAAGAGGCCCCAAGTTGTGTGTGGACATGTCTGTCAGAGCAAGTTACATGCAGGTTTTCCTCGTTAGCAGCAGAACAGCTTGTCATGTCCAGATATGGGCCTCTCTGCAACTTGTCCAGATCCAGGTCTTTGACAACTATCTCATGTCAATAAAAGTGACAGGAAAACCAACAGTGAAGATATTCCCTTATGTGCCACCCACCATACTGTGGTTACTGAGGCAGTGGCCTCACTAGCCATTACTCAGTTTTTTGTTTCTTCTTATCTCTTTCCCTTCTCTGTTTGTTACTCCATAATCCTTAAGAGAACAATCAGTTAAGTATTCCCCCCAACCTCAACACACCTTTGCCTTATTTTACAACAGAAGACCAACCTACCAAGCCCTGTTAAATGCCTTCACAATATCTAAAGCAATGGTTTAAAATTCACCATTTTCATTTAAAACTTGAAAGCTACATTGTTTGTCTGAAAGATTCTCCTGCAAAGTGAGATACTTAACCAATTTAGAGTTGATTAGAGCCTTTAGGACTTTGCTAAAAAGAAATAGAAGACTAATTTTGCTTCTCTTAAATTTAAAAGAGTGGATTTGGAGATGTAAAAAAAAAAAAAAAAAAAAAGATCTTATTTGTTTTATGAATGCATCATGTCACTATCCATTTTAATATTTATTGATTGTGTATACATATATAAATTTACTTTCATTCAATTTCAATTTATTATGTGTTATTCTGTTAGCTTTATATGCCGCGACCTGTTGTATGGTGGAAACCATGTAACAGAACAAGTAAAAAAAAGCAGGGACTTACCAATCAACTTTAAAAGAGACTGCTTTGTTTAGCTATTACAATTTAGAAAAAGAAAGAAAAAAAAAAAACATTCCTCTCTTGAGAAAGAAGTACTGCATTTATCTGAGACATATATTTAATACATATTTAAGCATTCATATCATCTTTCCAGCATATTTATAGAAGGGCAGGCATTGAAAGTTTGACTGTAGTCAGTAATTAACAAATCCAACAGTGAAACTCTATCTGACAGCAAAATAGTTTTTCAGTTATAAAATTAATTTTCCAGCTGTAAAGTTATTTTCTTTTTTTTTCTCAAAATTATTTCAGTCACCTAAAAAATGGTAGACAAACAGTTCACCTACAAATTGATTTCAAATCAGTGTTATCATTTTTGGAAAAAGGGGATAGCTCTGATTTTTAATAGAGAAACTTGGGAATGTTAAACTTGTAAGCAACATAAGTTCTATTGAAGTCTTAATCATATGCAGAATGCTGTTGGAGTTTGACCTTTTGCTTGGGTTTGACACCGTTAATTAAAGAATTGGCTAGAATTCAAATAACTGATTCCAGCAATATGCACTTTCTCAAAAATGACATGTCTGTATGTGCAGCCATTAAAATCGGTCATACCAATTTCTATACAGGGTTGAAATGAAGCAAGATAATCTGAATAGTATCCTGGAAGTGGTCAGATTATAACCCTGATTCTCATCTAGTCAACCTGTTGTTCCCTGTCTAAGCACAGAGAACAGTATTCTTAGCATTGTCACTTGGTGGTGTTCTTTATCTTCATGGCCATCACATGTACACATCAACATACTGGGAAGTAACCAAATTTTACAGGGACAATGGCTGTGATAACTTCCTTGTCTCTGCTGAAAATCAATTTCACAGAACAGCCCAACAAATTCTGTTGATAACTATCAACAGATTTAATAAAAACGAATTGAGAATTTAAAAGTACATAAGGAGCAAGGAATTAATAGTCTTTCTGTTTAGCCTGTTTGATTATTTTTTTTAGCAGGAAAATTATTCTAGCAGTAATTCATAGTAAATTAAGGTATCCTGATTCTGGCACTGTATTCTTATCTATATGGGCTTGTGTATGTGTGTTTGTGGTATAAGGAGTAGCAGTGAAAAGAGGAATGGCCTATAAACAGACTCTTCTTCTAACCTTTTTATCATCTTTCACTCCATGTGGCCCTCTGATTGCATTTGCATCTGTCACATTTATATAAGGAAGCTTGGCCACTTCTGACATTAATTTATTATATGTTTTTGAGGAGATATTCATATAACATTTTGTTCAGTAACAGATGGCTTTTTCTAAATGCAGACACCTTACCTGAATTTTAGTAACAATGTAAACATTTGAGAACTAATAGTTTTTGGTATAAACATAGTAAGAATTCTTCATTGGAATTTTGGAAATTTCAGAAGACAATAAATATTTGTTATATTGCCCCAGAGATAGATTGGGGAAAAATCTAGTTTTAGTAAATCTTAATGAATTCTATTTGGTTTATTTCAGCTTTGAATCATAGTAGAGCCATTCTCTGAACTCATTTTATGGATGCTAATTATTATTTTTAATATCTTGTGCCATGTGTACAAAAGTTGGTAGTGACAGTAGCAAGGGCTCTCAATAATTAATTTGAACAGTGCCGAGTTACAAGTACAATATTTCTGTGTTGATGGTAGTACCTTAGCGGATTTGGATTTGTAGCATGAAATTAATTATTGTTACCATGATGTTGTAATGAAATCATCCAGAGTACAACATTGGCATATATTGACATTTTCATCAATGAAAGCATGAAGCCAGCATTGTGTACAAGAGCATATTCAGAAAAATTTTGATTAACATACAAACACCTGGAGAGATTAGATGATGCTTAAGTGGTGGGTGTTTGAATCTGGAGGGAGTACAATAAATTTTGGCAGAATTGTAAAAGTGATCTTCAAGGACCTCTTGATTTCATCACTTGCTGAAGCATCTTTGTGTGAGCAAACTCAAAGGTTTCATGTGGCAATGATATTCAGAAAATGCCAAGCAGATGTGGTTACATTCACCTGTAAGGAAGAAGTGAATGACATGCCTCACAAGCAAATAATAACAAATATCATCACTAAGGTACATTGGACAATCCTGAACAAAACAATTTGTAGGTAGACAGGCAAATTCAGTTGGCTGCTGCAAGTTGTCCACTGCAGTCTTACTGGAAGTGAACAGCTTCATTGTTTAAGGATGCTTGTTGCTTGCATCCAGTGAATGATGCTTAATACATCAATTTTGATGAACAACACTTCAGTGGGTGTCTACAATATTACAAGAGGGCCACAAGAAAACATTGATAAGATGATGGTTCAGCATATTTGAGGAATATTTAACCATAGATTTGAGCCTAATCAAAAACAAAACCAACAATATGAACAGGGTAAGACAGATGTCTTCATGTGATAAAGTATGAGTGAGGAGTATCCAGCATCAATTTTTATTGCACACCCTCACCAACAGGGGATTTCATAATTAAAAGATGCCATGGGAGGAATCAAAAGAATTGCCACCATTTACATTATTCAGACTATTGTTCTCATCTTTGTTGCTATATTTATTACGTTTCGGCTGTTGTATGCTCCGGCCTTCTTCAGGTGGTTGGAATGTCGAACTGAACCCTTTATTTCGCTCACTGGGGTAGACTGTTCTAGTTTTATGTGCCATGTTTAATGGATGTCAGTTATCACTTATCTCCTGTTAATTCCTCTCTCCAAGTTCTCCACTGCCTTAACCGGGTATTGAACTCACACTCTTTGGGTTCTGTCACTGGATCTAACCAATGCCTTTATCCACTATGCAAATTTGGGATGGGAGAAGTGACTGAGCTTAACAGTTCACACTCAGTTTTGGTCAGTAGGATGCTATGATATGTGAATTACCATCAACCCATTTTGAGGACAAGTGTGACCATGAATAATCAGTCATACAACATTGGAAAAGGAGAAAGTGATTGAGTTTGAATCAAGTATGTCTGACAACATCTTACAATCTGATGATTCAGAGCCTGACAAGTGCAACTAATGACATTTCAGAAGAGGATTCATTTGGAGAAAAGAGAACATTCTCTTGCAAAGGAGTACCAAGCAGAAAGATCAGCTCCATGCTACCACCTCTATGATCATAGGTGGTCAAATTTAGAGGAAACAGTTACTATTGTAACAAAACAAATGAAAACCACAGGCTTTCCAGTCAGCATCAGTAGAGATGCTGAAAGTTTTTGCTTTGTTTGGTAACTGATACAAAATAAAATACACTCCTAGGAAGAAAGCACTACCTGAATATTCATAGCATCCTTCACTATATAAAGAAAAAAAGAATACTGGCCCAAGATATACATTGGCATTTTCTGTGTTTTAGAGAATAACAAAACCGATAGTTAAAGAATAACAAGTTTAGTGGTGAAACTAAACCTGGCAGAGAAAGAATAACAACTCTCTTGTTGATGAAAGCCGATGAAAGAGCTATCAGTTTCATTGTTTAATTTTTGTACATGTTGTTGAACATAGTGTCAAGATCTTTTCAGTCATATTCAAAGTTATATTAAAATTTATCATTGCATTGACGTTTTGAAAAAAAAGTGTAACTGGTTGAATCAAGACTCAACATATTGCATGTCGGAAATTTTCAATCTCTCCATTTTCAAAGTGGAAAAACGATTTCAAGTATTCAATCAACTTCTTAATGGTAGCTTTAAAGCTTTCATTGATGTTAGCAAAAAAATTAACTTCATCTTAAATTTGTTTTTGATGTCCTACAATTAAATCTCGTGTATTACATGGAAATAATGTTAGTAGACGTAGTTAATATATATCTATAATTTATCAATAAAGCATCTTTTCTTTTTTTTTTTTTTTTTTTTTTCACAAACAATACTTTTTGAACAACCAAATTTTCTTACACACTTCTAAGATTTCCTAAACATTGTACTAAGAGCTTTTATACTAATCACTATTCTGTTATTTGGGGGTCTACAGTCAAATCACACTGGAAATAGTGGTCCTCATTTGAACACTAAAGTAAGTAGTATCATGCCCAATCGGTACTTAGATGAATGTCTGCTTGGTAACACTGGGTAATATAAGCAACTTTCTACAATTCAAAATGTGTTTTGGCTTTAAATAACCCAGAGAGTCAATAAGCTGGAAAAAATCAATCAACATTCAATTATTATTATTATATTGTCAATTTTCTTGTCTTTTTAGTTGAATAGCCAGTGAATAGTTTTAAATTAATATCATTTTAGAATGCTGTATTCATCTGAAAATTGGACCAGCTGTAACATTGTGAAAAAAAAATGAATAAATATGAATAGTTTCCTCCAAATAATCATTCAATGCATTAAGTTATTTAGGAAAATATTTAGTAAGTTTCTTATTCTTTAATTTAAATTTAATTTTTTCAGTTATTTCATGTCTCTTTGGGATAATAATATATTATCCCAACAGAAAGGTGTCTTTAGAACTAATTGTATGGACTGCCTTGATAGGACCAATGTAGTACAGAGCATGTTGGCTAAGGATATCTTACAGGACCAATTATTGGTGAGTAAATTTGTTTTCTTCATTATTACTAAGAAACCCAGTAGGGGTGTAAGACTATTAAGATACCAAAACTGCTAATACCAGAAAGTTTATAATTGTGTATCTCTTTTACTAGTAAATTATTGAGTAAAGTGAGTTTTTTTTTTTTTTTTTTTTTTTTTAATTACAGTTTTGGCTATATATTTAGATTTACTTTTTGCATAGTCACTTCCTCCTATATTTTCATTATTTTAGAGAAAACAAAATGCTTCTTCATGTTCTCTGAAAATACAGTTTAGTTTTCTATTAAGAATGCAAAGTTTTAAATTTCTTTTTTACCCTTTTACAATTCCATATAGTAAATTGAATTTGACTAAAATAAATCAACATTTGCAGTATGGCCAAGCAGTTAAAAGTAATTTTTCAGGAAAAAAGAATTTTAAAAAAAAATGTTAACACTCTCCTTATGGTTTGTTTTAATCTGATATTTTAATGCATTTTCTATCTTATTTTTATATTTTAATATTTTTTATCTTCTACCTTTTTTTCTTTATTACCTTTTAATACTTTCTAATAATACTTTTCCTCCTTTTTATTTGCTACTGTTTTCTATTCTCTGTTTCTTTGTTGAATGTGTACTCACTGGTAATTTTAGAATATATGGTACAAAATACTTTAATGAAGAATGAATAATTATATGCAATTTTATATATTTATTGACCAAATCTAAATTAATGCTGAAATACAAACTTCTGGATTATATTTCAATTGAAACTAAACCAACATATTAAATAACCAAAGTCAACAAGATAATAGAAGCCATATAATTATTTGGTACAGAATCTAAAAATCTCTTTTTATAAATTAAAAGTTTACATTTTAATATTAATTTATAAAATACTTCAGTCATTAATGATCTATAAAGTTTTATTTATAATGCATGTAATTGATTGTTGAAGTACTATAAACATCCTTTTATTTTGTCTATTTAATATAGTATGCTCCACATTATACAGAAAGCTAGCTATACTTTGTCTTTTCACTTATTAGCAAATTGTAATGCATAAACTTCCAGTGCTTTTAATCAGACTTTTTAAAAACTGTGTAAATAATTCCTTTTTTTTCTTTTTACTAATCCCATGTATGAATGAGACTTACATTTTAAACTCAACCTTGTGCCTTATTTCATTGATGTGAAGGAATGGGTACAGATTGTTGCAATCTTCCCAGTGAGAATATGCTTCAACAAATCCACTTTTTTAAATTAATACTGTCCTGCTGTTCATTTATTTCATAAAAGTATTGCATCTATTTAACAATATGGTCAAATTTGGGGAAGTGTGTTGGGCCAAGAACTTTTCAGCAACTTCAAGGTTTCTCATTGATCTGAACAAATTATTTTCATTTCTGTAAGACTTGTATTTATACAACTAGTACATATTTAAATACAATTAAATACTAAATCATTTATAATGATTTAATTTATGTATCCATGTTACACGCAAAATACTAAGGACATCAAACCATATATTCCCTGGATATGTTCACAAGTATCTTAAATCCACTTCAGAAGAGTTTGGGGCAAATGAAAAAATAACTTTTGATAAAGCAAGAAATATTGGACTTGAAAATTTGATAAAATAACATCTTGTCAAAACTAGAGTCAGTTTCATTAAATATAGGTTTGTCAAAAGGATGTGTTAGTAGAATGTAGAATAGTATATGAGACAAATGGAAAAGCTTTTTTTTTTTTTTCTTACAGAAATAGAAAAAACATTTATTCTGGACTGCATTCATGAAAAAGTCATCAATTTCATTAACAAAACAGAATCAAACCATACATTACCATTTCTTAATGTCATGTTAATACACACACATAATGCCAAACAAATGAAGGGCTATTAAAAATCCACAAATAAGAATGACCTTATACACCTCTACTCTCATCAGTAATAATAGGATTCTACTTCAGAGCTCTTAGAATCTTGTTCAAACAAGAAAAATATATTGAAAACTCCTTCAATACCCAAATTACTATTTCCTATATAATGCCAAATGCAAAGCTTACAAAATCCACAGAAGAAAAATAGAAAAATCCACAGAAAACAATAATCCCAACAACTCTGATTAATCCTACCTACCAACTCCACCATTCAAAATAACTTATCCAACCATTATCTCAAATTCATCAACACCACCTCTAAAATGATAAGAGATATAGTTAGTACCAAACAAAATAGCAACAACAGGACAAAAGCATGAATATACAAAATGGATTGTACAAAATGCCCAATGATATACATTGGCAAATTATCTAGAAATTCAAAAAAAAGACTATATGAGCCTTCTAGAGATATGCTGCATAAAAACACTTGGGATGCACTTGTAGTTCAATGTGACACATCTGGCCACAATTTCAAATTAATAAATGCTGGTCTAATCATGATAGAAAAAGATTTACTCAGAAGAAAATGCATTGAAAGTGTGCTGCTCTCACAATTCTTGATGGTAAAACTTAGGCCAGGCTCATACATAATGTCATTGATTATCACAAAATCACAGAGATCTACTCAGTGTGGGCTAATTTCAAATCCAACAGACATTAATGGCTGTAAATAAAAATAAAAAATAAAAAAAAACATGCTTTTGTCTTGCATCATTTTGATCTGAAGATGCTAAGCTAGTACACAATGGTGAAATGCATTGCTATTAAAAAACTTTTCCATTTTGTCTCATTTTTCCACAATCCTATGAATGGCTCTATTAAAAATCAAGTTACTTAGTCATACCACTTTATATAAACATGAAATCTTTACTGTTTTTGTTTTTTTGAAGCTAAATTAATTAAATGTACATCTATATTTATTTTAAAAAGTACAAGCCCAAATGACCATGGCTGATATGCCATGAATCATCAGTGAAGTATGGATAGAGAAACCACCAAAAATTATGATTCCTTCTTTAAATAATGCTCCCATGCTCAATTCAAATTTATTTTAGAAAAATATTCTGTTATTTAGGATCAGAAATGTTTTAATTCCCCACCCAGCCATTTTACAAATGCCAGTTTCCATGATACTATCAGTATTCACTGCATTTTAAATTTTTTATTTTGTAGATTTTATTACATCTAAAAAAAATAGCAGAAATCTGTTAATTGTTGAATTTTAATGATTATTTCGAAAATTCATCCAGAATTATTAAAGTTAATCGGGAAATTATTATTATTAATTTCTACTAAATTTGCATTGTTTTTTTTTTTTAATGTTTAACAAATTATTTTGATTGCTGAAGTGTACAAAAACATGTTAGATCTACAGGCATTATTTGCCTATTTTCTTTAATATAGATTAAAATACAAAATAAAAAATAGTATTTTAATGTCTGTGGAAACAAATGGTTATAAATAAATTATATTTTTTATTTTGGTTTTATGTACTCAATTACCTGTTCTAACAATCTATGAAAATGTAATTTTTCAATGTGATTTTCTTTTTTATTTTCTTAAATAACTTTGCTAAACATTTAATTATTTTATTATTGTTTGTTATTAGTAACCCTTTGTAGTGAGAAATATCATTTCTTGTTTATTTCATTTGTGCTAAATCTTTACACTACTTAAATAATTTTTTTTATATAATACTAAACTTTGTTATTGAAGTACAAAAATTAATAACTAAACATATATTAATTTTATTCTAGCAACTTCAAATCTTGCAACCTGGGCAATTAATAAAAGATTTCCCAATGTTTAATGATGTATTAAAAAATGGTAAGTAAAAATGTTATCTTATTTTTCTGACAGTTTTATTTGTATTTATATTAGTATACAGCATTAATTTTTAATTTTTGCATGAGTACTGTTTTTTATTATCTGTCCTCTCTCTATATAAAACAGCTTTTCACATGAGATCCATCCAACCAATTTTGACCAAACTTGGCACATACATTGTACAATGTAAAATAGGTTCTCAGCATAAAAAAATCAATAAAGCCAATCAACTTTTTTCCTCCGATTTCATTCAAACTCCAGTATGTATGTATGTAGTTTACTTACATCATAACGAGCTCAATGATACCTCATTTTTATTTCTACATCAATGCATTTAGTGAAAAACTGCAGAAAATTAAAAATCAATTTCAACACAAATTTTAAACTAAAAACTCCTTCAATAGTCCCATGAATCATTCTGCAAAATATATATATTTTGTCAAAAATATGTTGGAAAATATGACTTAAAGAAATGAAATGTTTTCTTTGAGATAATTTTCTTTAATGATTGTTTCATTAAAAGGTGTTCTTAAGTGTTATTTACAAATAACAAAGGGCATGAATCTAGCACACAAAACATTTGCAGTATTTTGTATTTTAACTGCAAAAGTGTGTTAATAATTGTAAGTTTTGAAATAAAAGGTAAATATCTGATAATTCTTACTTTTAAAAAGGGTTGTGTAACTCCCCAGATTATAGTCCGACCTATCTGTGAGTCAGCAGTAAATCATCAGTTATTAAGTCATAAAGTAGGGATGCGACCTATCTGCAAGTATATATGGTACTTGTAAAATTCATACTGGTCACATTTGAAATGGATATATATTCTTGATAAAAAAATAAACTATAGAAAGTTTGAAAGATTGTAATTCATTCAAATGCAATATTTTGATTTACCACATAGATGAATCAGGATTGATAATTTATTCATAAGAGCATCCATCTTGTATATGCAAGATTGTAACTATACAATAAAGCATGGTTTACTTAGGAGAATTGTGAAAAATAAATATTTTATTAACAGTTTAAATATCTGGATTTCAATTGGCTTTTAAGATTTCTTGAATTTAGTTGGTCATAGAATTTAAGTGAAAACTGTATTATAAAAAAATATTATTTTATTAATTGAAAACATTTTTATGTCTAAACTCGGTCCAACCTGGCTTAGTGAAAATCGAAAAACTGGTTGATTGTTATTTATTTATTTTTTTTTTTTTTATAGTACTATTAAAATATTCATATTATCTGTCATGATTTCTTTTCTGTTTGCTATCCTCTTCTGATATATGCTATCAAGAAAAATGTACTTCCTCTTTCAGGTTTCATAGGCAATTTGATAGTTTGACAGAATACTTGGAATAATCTTCCCACGCCTGAAAATTTAATTTGATTATAGCAGTTAAATAATATTTTGTATCACAATTGAAATTTCTGTATGAAGAATTTGATTAGAAATTATTAAAATATGATAAAAATAAATTAAAAATTAACTATTAAAATTATGATATACTGAGATAGTACTGAAATACTTTTGTTATTATTATTATTAATTTACTGTTTCTTTGTCATGTAACAATGGTATTGAGCATACTCAGTGATTTAGAAATTAATGATGGAAATTTATTTTGCATATTTTATATGCAGTCTTGTGAAAACCAGGACTGAAATATGAAATATTTTCCTTTTTTTTTTTTCTTTTTTTTTTTTATGATATTTTTAAAAGTATTTATTTGCAGATAGTAAAAAAAATGATCCACTAGAGAAATATTAAATAATAGTTTATTCATAGAAGTTATACTCCCATAAACTAATTTATAATGAATTAATACAGCTATATTTACCAGATAACTAGTTTGAAATGAAAACATTAAGTTCAGATTTGTTACTCCTGTGTTTTAATTTTGGTTGACCCAATGTATATGTTGATTGCATTTTAATGATTGCACATGTACTGATTATTTTTCAGTGTGGGCTGACAATGCAGATACAGTATCTAAACAGTATGCTGGAACTGGAGCACTGAAAACTGACTTCACAAGGTAAATTTTATGAGCATATATGTTATAAACTTCCATCAATGTTGGTGCATTTTTCATCTCCCATATATTGTAAAATTATAAGTAAAATTTATTTGAAAATCTTATCACAATTTCTTTATTTTATATTCACATAGAATATTTTTAAGTAGATTTAGTTTGATTTTGTCTTGTTTTTCAAAATTTTTGGGAACACTCCATCATATTAATATAAGTTTGGAGAGAAAATAAGAACAATAAAACAGCAAAAAATTTCAAGACTATATTGTGGAACATGCAAATATTTATAAATTTGATAAGCCAGAATCATAATCTTTAATCAAGAGTCATTATCAAAATGTTTCTGACAAAAATCTCTAAGGCTGTTAGCTCATCTTCAATTTAAATATTTTGTTAGAACAAAAAAATTTCTGTTTTGAACTTCAAATTTTAAATCATCATAGCTTGATTCAAATTTTGCTATCAATCTTAGCAGTGAATTTATTCCATCATGATAAAAACTGGGGTTATGGGAGTTGACAAACTGCTGTAAGGCATACTTGGCCTGGTCAACATTGTTATATGCATCTGATATCTAGGAAAAGTTAATTAGTGAGGGACAGGCTCAGTGAGTAGGGAGGATGGGGTAAGACCTTGATACCTTATTACATCAGTTTTTCTAAGGTGGTTTGTGAAGTATGAGGCCTTCTTACATTCTCTTATTTCTTTTCACCAATGCTGACCAAAGTGCTTGCAACTTTACTAAATCAGTATCTGTCTATATTTCTGAGATGAGGTATTATGTACATTATTTACATTATTCAAACTATTGTCCTCACTTTTGTCGCCATATTTATTACAACGTTTCAGCTGTTGTAGGCTCCAGCCTTCTTCAGGTGGTTGGAATGTCAAACTGAACCCTTTATTTCGCTCACCTGGGTAGACTGTTCTAGCTCCACGTGTCGTGTTTAATGGATGTCATTTATCTGTTATCTCCTGTTAATTTCCCTCTGAAAGTTCTCCACTGTCTTAACCAGGTATTGAACTCACACTCTTTGGGTCCTGTCACTGGATCTAACTAACGCCTTTATCCACTGTGCCATGTGTCCTTGAGGGTTCAGTTCGACATTCCAACCACTTGAAGAAGGCCGGAGCGTACAATGACCGAAATGTTGTAATAAATATGGCGACAAAGATGAGGACAATAGTCCGAATAATGTAAATAATTTACTAAATCAGTACTAAATCGTGAAAGTAGACTGAGCCATGATAGTTTGATCAAGAGGCTGTAATTGATTACACTGCCAAACAGAACGGATCTTTTGTGGATGAAGGTCTGGTTTTTCAACCCAAAGAAACCCTCAATTTAAAAGCCACTTTTCATCAACAGTAACCATCTGATCAAGCTGCTGATTTCTCTCAGATGTCTTCTTTTTTATAGTCTGCCTCCAATATCCAATTGTTTGCTTCTCAATGAGCTTTCATAATTAACATAAATTTTTTATTGTTGAGTCACTACTTGGCAACCACCACAAGGCTTGTCTTGATCCCCAAGACAAGATGAACAGAAGCAAAAACTGACTCCAGCCCCTAAGCATTTTTGCAAGTGTCTTTGGTAGCACAATGTCTGAGATTGAATGCATGGAGCATACCAACACAAACATTGTATTTATTTAGCTTTGCTTCCATACCCTATAGAAAATACATAAAAGTAATTAAAAAAAAAATCAACCAATACCCCCAAGGAAGAAATGCAGAGCTTTAAAATACTATAAACAAAAGGAAACAATGACATGAATGCAACAGGAAAAAAATTTATATATATAATTTAATGACAAGAGTATCTTTTTAAAAATTTTTGAATTTCATGTAACTACACATTTTGCTTTTTGTTTACTTGTCTTGATAAGTAGTATTTTGCAATTGTCAATTTTATTCAATTTGTCTTCTCTGAAGATTTATTCTGAGAATTTTAATATATATATATATATATTTCTTATTAGGTGTGTGTAAAAGTTCCCACTCCCTCTTTTGTGAGAAATAGAGACTAATAATTACACAGTTCAAATTTTTTTTTTTTAATGGAAACTTTTGTACATACCTAATAATTTTCTTCACTTAACTGAAAAAATTTAATATGTACAAAATTAAAACATTTAAAGATGGTAACATTTTTTTAACTCAAATTTTCTATGTAGAATTAAGATTGATTAAATTATATCCAACCAAACATGCCTTACCATTTAATAAAAAAAAATGAGTGCATTATTTTATTAGTTGACAGTCACAAATTCAAAGCTTTTAGCTTTGAAAACCTAATGATACCTCTTCTGCAATAAATTCTTGAACTGCACAGATGTCATTTATTAATAATAATAATAATAATATTGTTAAATGTGCATCAAATACATAGATGTGAGCAAATATGTTTCCTAAATAATGTCCTATAACCTTGCAATTAAACACTATCATTATTTAAAATATCAGATAAAATATTTTTCAATTAAATAAATTTAATTATATACCTTAATTTAAAAATAAATGCATAAAATGTACGTTATTAATTTCTTTTAATTTTATAAAAATGATCACTTGTATAACTGCAATAACTACATTCCACACGTATGTGTGTGTGTATATATATATATATATATATATATATATATATATATTTCAATAATATACAAAATATATACAAAAAATTAATTTTTTTTCTTCATTTTTAGCAATACTTATTTTTCTTGTGGAATCGCATATTATAGTGCATTGAATATTGTTCCATAGTTGTGCATATATGTACAGTATTGAAAAAAAATATTTTTAACTATATGATTTCTGTATTAAATACATGCAGTGATTATTGATTATCATTTTTTATTTTGTAGATATTTTAATACAAACATATTTTTAAATACTTTTAAAAAAATCAGCACAATTTTATAGTTGTACGTTTATATTAGACATGAATGTTGTTTTCAGATAGTAAAATATTTTGAAAAAGAGTAATCAATATTGCCAGAAGTTAGATTTTTTTTTTTCTTAAAATAAGTTTTATTGCACAAGTATGTTTTCATCACTTTGTATATAATTTAAGCTAAAGTAGTAGTTTGTCATGAAAATAATTATGCTAGAATTAATCATAATCACTTGTGAAAAACATAAATTTCACAAGTTTTACACTCACCACAACAAAAATAAATTCTTAATTTTTAATCAAGATTGTGGACTTCTGTGTGAGATTATTTTTAAAATCTATTAATTTACTGTTCTTTTATTGATGATCAGAAGATAGTTTGCACTTGTTATGCAACTGTTTTATATAGTGATTTGTTATATTAGCATCATATTTTTATATGATTATTATGGCATAACAGCAGCATGATAAACTCGTAACAGATTCATACCATGCTGTCTTAATAAACAAATGCATTTAGTTATTTTATTCATTAAACACACAAGAGAATTTGTCATCACAAATGCAATATTTCAAAACAATTGTTATAAAATTCCACCAAAGCAGAAAAGAAAACTAAATTCTCTAAATAAAGATATGTAACAAAAGTTGATTTTCTTCCCTACTCAAAGCAGCTAATTTTTATGCTATGCATCAAATATCCAGCTAATAATTATTACTTATTGTATCAATAGCATTATTAAACTTCTAAATTATAGTAACTATTTCACAAATATAACTTACAAACTAACTAGATTAAAAAAAAAAATTGAAAGTTAAACATTATTAAAATGTTCAGCATGATTGTTAATTTATTAATAGTGAGTTTTAACTTAAAATAATAAGAAATGCTTCTGACAATAAACATATGGCTTCATATTTGTAATTATTTTACCTGTGATTTTTGCAAATGCAAATTTGGAATTCTTATTTATTTTTTCTAAGAACTGGAAAGCGAACAAGATATGGTTTGCTGATGGATGGACTAAACTCTATAGTTCGGTACTTCAAAAATAACTTCAAGGATGGTTATCGGCAGGTATCTGTTCTTTTACTAAATTATTTTTAATTTAATAGTGGCGATTTTTTTTTTTTTTTTTTAATTTATAATTTTTTTGTCATGATTTCTCTTCAGTTTAGATTGTATAATGGGTTTTGTGTAAAAAAAAAAAAAACGTAAGCAATATCACATATATTTTCTGTATTGTTGCTCTCCTGGAGTCTCATGTCAGCCATGCTGTTGGCAGGTAGAAAAGTTTTTCTATAGTGGCTAAATGAAAGCAGTTTTGTTTTTGAGGCATTAAAATTTACAAGCCATTTCCTGCCTCAGTTAGCCACTGATTGGAGGTCATTTTCAAGAGCAGCTACCAGGTTTACTTTGTCAGACTTGATAGATTTCTTATTGAGACAAGAGTAAATGGTAGTGTCATCTGCATAACTACCGAGTTGGAAACTGATGACATTGAGGATGCCTGCATTGATCACTTGGGCCTTGGAAGACTGGCCATTAACAACTACCTTAAGGGACCCTACCTGTTAGGGAGGTCTTGATAATTAAGAAGACTCTTCCAGTGATTCCATAATGAGAGTTTGTTCAGCAACCCTCTATCATATTCCTTGTCAAAGGCCATTGAAATATCTAATGCAATAGTCCTTGAGATGTATTAATTGTCTAGGGTCTCACTGATTCAGTGAGTAATGACAGGATATCTGCAGTGGACCAAGCTGATCCAAATCTGTACTGCTTGTTGCTCAAAAGGTTGTCCTTATTGAGGTGATCAATAACCTTCTTGATTATAGCTTCAAAAAGTTTGCTTATAACACTGAGGAGGCTGAGGGGTCAATACTGAGAAATGGTTATAAAATTTATTTCTGGAAGCTGTCTTGAATACTTTTAGTTATGCTATAAATGAAAAATCTTTTAAATCATTGCTGCTATTGATATGCCAATTATTTTTGCCATTTTTTAAAGGATTCCGTTGACTTATTACTTGGTAATTATATAGTTGAAGAACAAGAAGGAATAACTCGACCATCTCCATTAATAACAGATCGGGATTGGAAGTTCTATGCAGTAAGTACCAGAATTTCAATAACTTTCTTCTATTGTTTATTTTCGCACAATTTTACAGAGAACTTACCAAATAAACTATTGTTGGAATATTTAAATATTTTAACATTTAAATTTTATTTTGTAAATTTTTTATATATAATTTGTTGTAAAAGAATTAATGAAACAATGCTCATATATAAATGTGTAAAGACGGCCGTCATAACAAGTCGCTCCCTAGATGGAAACCAAGTTATGCCCCTTGATCAGAACAGTTAAGAAAAGAATTGTTGGAATACTGTTGGACCTGTCTTGATCCCAAAAGGAAGACCATTAAATTAATATAAACCCTGTGAATGTTGGCAGTGAGAAGATTCTTGGACTCCTCATCAACTTCCATTTGTAGGTAAACATTTGCAGCGTCAATTTTTGAAAAACAAATTCCACCATTGAGTTTTGTAAACAAGTCTTCTGGAACTGGTGGTGGATACAGACAAATGGCCAAACAAATGTGCATTCTTCTAAATATTGATATCTCAAATTCATTTTTGACAAAAATGGTCGGAGACCAGATCAAGAAAATATACATGCTATAACACATATGACAGGACCAATGGATGTTCAAATGCTACATACCTTTCTAGATTTCATAAGACACTACAGTGCCATTTTTACCAGAAATGCACTGGGTATGTGGTCCCCTAAACAGTCTTGAAAAAAGATTCTTAATGGAACTGGTCACCTGAATGCAAATTGGCATTTGACTGCATTATATCCGTTCCGAGTTCAGAACTGCTGCTACCATATTACAACCCATCCCTGGATATTGTTGTTTCTGATGCTTCAGATTATGGCAATGGAGCTTTTAATTTCACACATCTTTCCGGATGGAAACGAAAAAGCAATTGCACACACATCTAGAACACTTACACCCGCAGAACACAATTACAGCTAGATTGAAAAGGAAGCCTTTTTTGCCATGAAAAAAAAAAATTCCATAAAATGCTATATGGACATCACTTCACCCTGATCAGACTACAAGCCTGTTAGAATTTTTGGTTCAGAGAAAGGCATCCTAGTCTACACAGTTAACCATCTACAAAGATGGGCCACTATGCTTTTGGAGTATGATTTCTCCATCAAATATTAGTCAAGCAACATCGGCCAAGCAGATGCATTATCCATATCATCTCTTTACATCACAAACTACCAGAGGATACAGTTCTTGCTGCTGTATCTGTGGAACCAGAAGTTTTTTCAGTACTTGTATCCATAGTTGGGGCACTACCAATTACCTCAGAAATGATCTGGGAAGCTACAGCCTCAGATCCATTGCTACAGAAAGTCCTGCACTTTCACTACACTAACAGTATCTGCTGACAGGTAGCTCCAACTATTCTTCCAACATCGATTTTCTTTGTCTGAAGTTAATGGAACCATTCTATTTGGTTGTCCTGGGTAAGCCATTAAACGGCATCTGGTACTGTTAGTGGGGCTTCAGAATATGCTGACTGCACCTCTGCAGTGGGTAGAAGCCAGTGAGGCCACCTGTTTGCTATGGTTAGGGGGTGGGGGTCCACCCATGATGTCTGAGGATGAGATCCTGGTGGTTGAGCTTTCCATGACCTGGGTAAAAGCTGTTATGTGAATTGTAACACTTTGGCTCTTACTTGAACTAGACAGGAGGTTGGAGAGGCCTAATTTGACCAAGTGGCTGGTCACTACATGCTCTAGCAACAAAAGTTAATCCCAACTGTATTATTCAATTTGATGTGTCTTTGATCAGACATCCATCTCCACTGTAACTTTTAAATGCTAGAAGGCAGTGGCTGAGTGTCAATCATGCAAAGGAAACCAAAGTTTGATCACTACTTTATGTTAGTAAATATTAGTTCTTGGGTACTAAATCTGAAACTGACTGCGACTCGAAACAGTACTCAGTGCAAGTATACTGGTTGTGTATCCCCGTCTCAGGTGATTGGGATTCCTCCTTGGTATATTCCCAGCAGAAGTTAGACTTCGTGGTAGGTAGTGGAGCACAGAACCAGTGAATAGTTCTATTTAAATTATAGAAAGACAAACCAAAAAAACCCAAAAGAAATTTCTTTGATTCTGAATCTGAAACAGAACCTTGCTGAATTCCCAAGATTCATTATAATTCAAACTAGCAGTAGAGCCCGGCGTTGCCCGGGGATATAACAGCAAGAGAGAGATCAAGTATTGACCATCATAAAGACTGAAAAATAAAATTGACAAAGATTATTGTTTAAGGTTGACGGACACGCATGTCTTAATTAGTTTTGTTTTGTTTTTTTGTTTTTTTTTTTGTTTTTGTTTTTTTACAAATTGGTCAAACTCAAACAAAAACATTGTTTTCAATCGTTATGAGTCTACCGATTGAATAGAATTTTTCAATTTATTATAAACAATTGTCTTGCAAATGGAATTTTTAAAGCATTCTGAATGTAAAAATAAAGAAAAAAGTGTGCAAGACAATAAGAAACACTACCTGCCAAAAAAAAAAGTGAAGTTTTGTTGAAATCTGTTGAAAAATGTAGGAAATCCGATCCCATATATAAACGAACACACACACACAAACAACCTGGGTTTTATAATAAGTATAACTCGATATGAGTTGTCCCCCTTTCATTCTCGCCACAGCAATACCTCTTAATCGTGTTTTCAAATTGATTTCGTGCAAAAACAATTATGCTTTTCCAATTTTTGGCACTGTCAAAACCACCGCAAGGTAATTTTACGTAGTCCTGTGAAGTTTTGTTGAAATCAGTTGAAAAATGTAGGAAATCCGATCCAATATATAAACGGACAGACACACACACACACAACCTGGGTTTTATAATAATCTAGACAAAAAGCAACAAGACCAACTTTCAGCTTCTTTTTTTTGATAGAAAAGGTAATTTCTAGTCTGTCAAACCCTGAAAATGTGAAGAAACTTCAAAATAGAAATTGCAATATGAGCTCTGGTAAAAACATGCAATGATAACAGCAAAAATTGCAATATGAACACTGGTAAAAAAATGATTGCTGAAGACATTAGGTTTATAATATCCAGAAATTCATATATAGATGTCCTCATGGACACATGGCACAGTTGATAAAGGCGTTAGTTAGATCCAGTGATTGCTCATATTGCAATTTCTATTTTGAAGTTTCTTCACAAAGAGTGTGAGTTCAATACCTGGTTAAGGCAGTGGAGAACTTTCAGAGGGAAATTAACAAGAGATAACTGATAACTGACATCCATTAAACATAGCATGTGGAACTAGAACAGTCTACCCCACAAAGAACACCCTGCTTATTCCAAAACCTACAATACCTTTAAAAAAGAAATCATGTATGTAAAACACACCAAAAATGTATCCTTCCCAAAAGCAAGAAAAATTGTGGAAACCTATATGGGCACCAAAACATATACCAGCATAGTACAGAAGACAAACTAAACAATTCAAGACAACACTCAAACTAATAAATACCAAAAACTTATTGAAAAACTGATAAATTCGAATGGCCAAGATTTCAAGTAAATTTTTTAAAATTGTATGCAGCAGAAGTAAACCAAACTGAGCCCTATACAAAAACAAAATGGTTAGATACTAGCACACATGACAATACAGAAATAACCATAGAAAAAAAAAACTCTAAAACTACCAAACAAACAATTTTAGCAAAAGAAAGACAGCAAAGACCACCAGACTGACCTCCAGATGCTGAAAAAGACATATATAAGAATAAAATAACTAAAGATACTTCTATTAGTATTTATTATGCACTTAAGAAATCAAATATATATATATATATATATATATATATATAATGATATAAATAACTACTTACTAATGCAATCATGTTTAGGAATATCTCCATTATTTCTCAGAATAGGTGACTTCAAATTTGGAATATTTACAAGGTTGATGAAGTTCTGAGAATAAAGCCAGTAGCCATCAGTACAAGTGCAATAATAACTGCCTTGAGTGTTGATGCATACGTGATGACAGACAGCATTATTAGTAGCTAATTCATTAATATCTGCAAGTAATAAGAACCATGATAAACAAAATGAAAAGGTACGGCCATATTGGATCACTTGAAAGAATGACATTTTGTCCAGTGCAAATTATAAAATGAATAAAAATAATCAGTAAACAGCAGGTGAAATTGTCAGTTTTTTAAATCTTGAAAGTGCGATGTACAATATAAATTAACTTCTATACTTTTATTGTATTAGAAAACAAAACCCAATTAAAAGAACTACACAAACGCAAACCACCCCAATAGCCACATCAAAAAAACGTAAGGAATTCAAAGAAATGTAGATTGAAAATAAAACTCCACAAACCAGCAAAACTCAAAATAAGTCCCACAGACAGACCACAGAAAAAAAAAGACAATAAAATAATCCAATGGAATATTAGAGGAACAAGGGTCAACTATTGTGAATTGATGCTACTTATTACATACTACTGTCTGGCAGTCATATGCTTTCAAGAAACTCACCTCAAAGACAACAATACAATTAACATTAGAAATTACCAATCATATAATTGTATTAATCAGCACACTGATAGGGCTTGTGGTGGATCATTAGTAATCATTAAAAATAATACACACAGTGAAATCGAGCTAAATACATACATGCAAGCAGTCGCTGTTTTGGCAACCTTACACACAACTATAAAGTGTGTTCATTATATATGCCACCAAACGAAGAACTCTAAGACTCAGAGCTTAGCAAATTAATAGAATAACTGCCAAGACCCTTCATTATAATGGGGAACTTTAACAGCTGCAATGAGATGTGAGGAAGCAAGAAAACTGGGAAAAAAAGCGGGGAAATAATAGAATCAATAGTGAATAAATATCAGCTGTATCTATTCTCTTAGAAGACATACCAGGTAAGGTAAATAAATGAATTCCAAGCTGGAATCTGGAAAGGGCTAACTGGAAAGGATTTAAAACTTTATGCCCTACCAAATTAATCCTAGAAATCAATAAAAACAATGAGGATGACATCTTATATTTTATAAACACACTACTTAAGACAGCTGAAAGAAATATACCAAAAAACTCCAACTCTTCAAAATATAACTAGCCATGGTTCAACAAGGGATACGAGAAAGCTGTGAGATTATGCAGAGTAACACTAAAAAAATGTAAAAGAAATCCAACAAGAGAAAATGTCAACATCTATTAAAATAGTGGAGCCAAAGCCAGAAAAATCATTAAAGAATCCAAAAGAACTACAAGGAAGAATTATGTTACCAAAATAAATAGTAACACTAAACCAAAAATGGTATGGCAGATGATATGAAAAATAACCAGGAAAAATAACAATCCCCCTAGTAAACATCTCATCCACAATAATGTGAAGATTACTGACAAGAAAAATATAGTAAACCATCTAGCTGACACCAAGGTCTTAAATTAACCCTTGGAGTATTTAACACCTCTCCTGTTGAAAAATTGTATATAGAAGCAAACAAACCATCTCTAAGACTAAGATGTGAAAAACTCACTCTCCAATACTACCTAAAACTATCTCCCTTCCCTCTAAGCCCAGCTTACAAAGATACTTTCCAATCACAGTACACTGAAGTAACTAGTCTTAAAAAAAAAAAGTATTTGTATAGAATTGTCACTGTTTTTAATTTTGGAGGTCTTTTCTACTCAAATTGCATAAAACAAGCCAAGCAAACAAGTACAGTATTTTCCTATACAACTACACAAGAATTAGTCTATTCACGTCAAACTCAGTTAGTAAATACAAACACATCTTAATGAAAATATCCTAAACTTAATGCATAGCACTTTTAAAATGACATGATATATTTGAAGTAAATCGATATTGTATTAGCAGATTATTTAGCATGTAATATATGAAATTGATTTAGAACACTAATTATTTAATATAGGTGTTTAAAAGGTAAACTCTATGAACATGTAATGAAAGTAAATTGTTGAAGTAGTTCCAATTTTCAAGGTCAAATTTATTATTTAATACATTTTAGTGAATATAATGCTTTTCTTTGAATATAAAACATCTGCTTTCATTTTTTTCCTAACTAATAATTTCTGACACGATGACAGTTAACAAAGATCATGTTTATTTTTTTTTTTTAAGTTGATAGAATTGCTTGCTTATTAACTGTAATGAAAATAATATTGCACAAATATGAGCATTAAAGCTTGATGTTGTGGGGGGACTTCACCACATTAATTTAACTTTGATAAGAAAACAGGACTCACGCAAGATGAATAACCACAAGACATTGTTGCACATAAAATATATGTATATTAACAAAATGTACAATATCAAACAACGATGTGAAAGAAAACATGCATTTGAGTAAGAAAGGTTGAATTAATCAAAAGTTGCCTCTCTTTGACTACAATTTAAGAGTTCAGTGAGAGATAATTATTTGGTTTAAAGTTCACTGGATAAATGTTCATGAGTGTTTCGTTATAATTGTTCTTGTGATATTACTGTTGAAAAGTATTGTTGTGTCAAAGTCTTTAGTGAAGGTGTACAAGTTATCATCAGCATGTCAGTGTGTGTGTGTGTGTGTGTGTGTGTGTGTGTGAGTGAAAAGGTTGGTGCATTGTTAGAACTTCTTTCTTTTTTTTTCCCCTTTTTTCTTTTTTTTCCCTTTTTCTTTCTCCCCACCCTTTTTTTCCTCCTCCTCTTTTTTTCCCCTTTTTTTCCTCTTTTTTCTTTTTTTCCCCTTTTTTCTTTTTTTCCCTTTTTTGTATCTGGATGAATTAAACTCCATTTCTCAATGTATTTTTGGTCTGAATGATTGGGCAATAGCCCATGAAATAAATTATTACCACATAAAGGATTTTTAAGGATTCTTTATTCATTTATATATATATATATATATATATATATATATATATATATATATATTATAAATTAACTTATTTAAAATATGCTTTTATATATATATATATATATATATATATATATATATATATATATATATATATATAGCTATGAAAGTATCCTCTTGGTCTACACTCAAGTAGACATAGTAGTAACTACTCAGATGTATCAATATTGTTAAAACCCATCCACTTAGTTTTATCAAGTCATATGCATATTTGCACTCTGATAAAAGAAATGGAATTTCAATGTTTTTTGTTTTTTTTTTTTGCTTAACATACTAAAAACCTGATAAAGAAATCTGATCTCTTAGTTGATCCCAAAGACTGGCAAAATTTTATTTATCTCCTACAAAAAAAAACACAAAGTTGTTAATCTGTGAAATTACAAAAATAATAAACTATTATATCCAGAATTACTTCAATATAAATTATGTGCTCAAATTTAAAAATAAAAATCATTATTCAATATGTATTGTAGATTTTAAGTTAATCAGCACAATTTACTAATACAAATATTCTTGCTTTTTTTCCAGCTTCCAGCTGTCTTTTTTGTCTCTCTTGCAATGTGTATGATTTGTATTCTACTTCCTGATGGTAAGTTTTTTGTTATAAATTATGTATAATTTTGCATATAGTTTCTAAAAACAAAATATTGCATACTCTAAAGCAAATTTAATTTTATATGATTCTAGATTATTGTCAAGCAGCATTTTTCTTTCTCTTGCTTTATTCACTTTTACATACAGTGACAGAGAATAAAATTTCAACATTCTGAAGGACAATGCCGATTCTTGACCTGGGGTACAGTATTTACATACAAGTGAATAGTAGATATTCTGATAAAATCTTCGGTCTTGGGCCATCTTCTGATGCAGAAACATTTGCACCAATGTGCTGTCTGAGCTTTACATTGGGATGTCTGCTGATCTAAAGTTAAGTGTTGCAAAAGAGCAGGTGTCGTGCCGTAGAAATGCTCATGTACTCTTTTTTGTTCAATTCAACCCATTTGAGATGGCTAAGATTTGGGGTGGAGCACATTTGAAAGGTTGGATAGTCATTTTGCAGAACTGCTGTGCATATCAGTTCTAGCCTATCTATGGTGCTCAGACACTGGCAACAGTAGTCAAATGAATATTCCTATACATGGCATCTACAGCTGATATCAGAGCAAATGTGACCTCCAGAAATCTTAATGTGAACTGTTGGGAATCCTTTATTTGCAGCAAGACTATAGGTATAAATACATGAAGGCAATCTTCCTCTTATATCACTACACCATTATGCATCTTTCTTGATGTATTGCAGGAGGCCTAGAATAATGTATTGCAGGAGGCCTAGAATAATGTATTGCAGGAGGCCTAGAATAATGTATTGCAGGAGGCCTAGAATAATGTATTGCAGGATGGTATTTGCCATCTGCATAAACATACATATGTGAGAGTACAAATGTAAGTTAATACACAAGGAAGACCTACAATGTATTAATATGAGGTCCAAGTTCTGTTGATACATCCATTATTTTTAAATCTATGCCTGTATTAATATCTATAAAAGCTCATTTACTGTAATTCAATTACAATCAACTATGCAAATGATGTTGAGGAAGTTAAAACACTTGTTTGTGGTACACTATTTACATTATTCAGACCATTGTCCTCATCTTTGTCGCCATATTTATTACAACATTTCAGCTGTTGTACACTCCAGCCTTCTTCAGGTGGTTGGAATGCCGAATCAAAGGAGAATGTTCATTCTCTCTCATCAGTGTAAAAATTAAATTAGCTTAAAAATTGATATCCCAAATTGTAGGTACATGAGAAATGGCTGCTAATTGCCTCCAGCAACCAACACACACAATAGAAAATGATTCACAATGTTTGATCCAATTTCTTATGGTTTGTGAATAAAGTGTTTTGATTTAGATTCATTGTCTGAATATATTTAAACTAATTCAATTTGTTATCAACTAAATTGTAATGCTGTGAATGTAATTGTCTCTAGAAATAGTTGTTTTTAGAATACACAATGATTAAATTTTAAAATCACACTCTCACAATTTTATGTGATATCAGTAATCAAGTCTAAAATGTAATTAATGTGATCTCTATTACAAAAAATATTTTTAATAATTTTAAGTTTATCATTTTATTTTTGAAAGGTGCTGTACGTTATTCCCTGTAATAAAATTTAAATAATTTCTGACTTAAGCTGTGGAAGAGTTAAAATTTTCTGTATTTAAAAAACAATTAAAACTTGGCAATTTAAATTCCATTATGTAAAAAATGGGATTGACTGCTCTTTAGTAATTATTTTTTTCTTCGGACTGATTTTTGGAAAAATTAATATTAAATTTTTAAATTTTATTTCACTGTCAAAAGCTAACATTGATTTGATCTTAAATATCAATGAAGAATATATTAATATTTTTGTAGTTTAACGAACCATGTCTTTATATCATTAATTTTTACTAGATGAAGCATTTCTTTCATTTTAGTATGAGTAATTGTGAGGATGGATGTGCAACTTATTAGCATGGTTGGTGCAACTTATTAGCAAGCCAACTTAAGTTCCTACTGACTTTGTTGCATTCATTCTACACTAATGCCTATGGGAAAGACATGAATCTATTTTTTCTTCCCACCAGCTATGGGTCACATTGCAGTGTAGACTAGACTTTGTAGTCTTGGTTGGCAGTCAGTCTAGGAGAAGGAAAACACTGAATTCTAAATTATGGGAAGTTGTTCCACAGCCTTTCCTAATAAATCATGGTAATGGACAAATGGTAAAGAAAAACAATCTGTGGAGAGTTATGTTTGCCTACAAACTGAAGTGTAATGGTATCTATAAAAATAACAAAAGTTGCAATGATAAGCAAATGAAATTAAGACGAAAGAATTACTATCTGTCTATATTTCTGAGATGAGGTATTATGTACACTTATTTACATTATTCGAACTATTGTCCTCATCTTTGTTGCCATGTTTATCACAACGTTTCAGCCGTTGTATGCTCCGGCCTTCTTCAGGTGGTTGGAATCGAACTGAACTCTTTATTTCGCTCTCTGGGGTAAACTGTTCTCGTTCCACGTGCCATGTCTAATGGATGTCAGTGGATAAAGGCGTTAATTAGATCCAGTGACAGGACCCAAAAAGTGTGTGTTCAATACCTGCTTAAGGCAGTGGAGAACTTTCAGAGGGGAATTAACAGGAGATAACTGACATCCATTAAACATGGCACGTGGAACTAGAACAGTCTACCCCAGTGAGTGAAATAAAGGGTTCAGTTTGACATTCCGACCACCTGATGAAGGCCGGAGCGTACAACAGCCAAAACATTGTGATAAACATGGCAACAAAATGAGGACAATAGTCCAAATAATGTAAATAGTCTAAAGAATTACTGTTTGTCTATATTTCTGAGATGAGGTATTATGTACAGTATTTACATTAGTGGGACTATTGTCCTCATCTTTGTCGCCATATTTGTCACAACGTTGTTATGCGCTCTGCCTTCTTCAGGTGGTTGGAATTTCGAACTGAACTTAAAAGTCTTAAAATTCCAACCACCTGAAGAAGGCCGGAGCGTACAACGGCCAAAACGTTGTGACAAATATGGCGACAAAGATGAGGACAATAGTCCGACTAATGTAAATACTGTAAAGAATTACTGGTTGAAATTTAATAATTCCCAAATATATTTTTCACATGTTTTATGTTGAACAAGTATATGTGACATTTACTTAATTTTATAATTTCATTACCTTTTCATTTTTTTATTTATTTTTTTTATTTCAGAACATGCAACTGAACAAGTGCTGTACATTTTGTTCTGGGGAGGTTTCTGTGTAATATCAAGTCTGGCAATCTACATGTTTGGTGAAGTTTTTGTAGATTCTCCTCGGTTGACACAGGCTAAATTTAAAACTGATTAACTATATGGCAGCAACACAGTATTTATCATCTGAAAGCCACTTTCAAGAGACTGTTTAAATGGACATCTACTATGCTGGTTATCAATAGTTTAAGTTAGAATTTATTAACTTTTATCTTACAAGAATTGATAAACAGTTTATAAATTATGAAACTTTTCTTGGTAATTAAATTTCTAATAAAATTTATAAATTTACTCAAGATAACTTTTTTTTTTTTTTTAGCTCTGTACCATTAATTTCAATTAAAATATAATAGTCCATTTAAAAGCTTTAATATTTTTTTTATATTGATGACTTACATATAAAGATATCTACTAAAATATGTATACACTTATTTAAATGAGTTCCATTTTAGTTTTCTGTGGATTTTTTTTATTCACAAAAAAATTGACATTGATTTAAAACATTCAAAATGAAACCATTTCAATATCACTAGTTAAATTGTTAAACAATAATTTAATGTAACTACTTTGTAGGAATTTTCACTTTTAAATAGTATTATATGAGATTTTTTTATTATTTTTTTTTTTTATTCAAAATGCTCAAAAGATTGTACAGTTAAGCTGCATTCCAGTCAAAATTCTATTAACCACAAATTTGCATAGTCATAAAAGATTAGCATAAATAAATTTGATAACTTGTTTTATCAAAGACTATTCTGTTGACACACACTGCTATATTCTTTGAAAAATATATAGAAAGAAATATGTCTATAATTGAAATTCTATTTGTAAACTGTATTTCAGATCAATTTTTGAATACTTTTCACATCAAAATAGCAACTGATGCACTGGATGAATAAAGAAATATATTAAATCATAGAAAATACAGTGCTTGTTATATTTCTCTAGTAACATTTTTTTATCAATAGCATATATGGTAAAATATGAGAGAATTAGTATCTTAAAGTAATAATCATTTTTTTCTTTGTATTATAATTGGTTTGTCCACTACAACCAGAATATAAAATTATGGTGCAACAAATTATTTTTCAGTAAATACCTGTAAAAAAAAATATTACTTACCAGGTTATTGAATAGTACAAATTTATCAGAGTATTATTAAATGGTATGTTTTTTTTTAAGTTGCACTAAAGATGTATGAAATTTTACATTTAATTTTTTCCCCACACTTTTTGTGTAAAATCTTTTATTTTTTTAAGGTTAGCATTTGATGCCCTCAAAATGCTATTATTTGTTTTCATCATGAAAGAACATTTTTTTAATTTTTTTTTATTCACTGGCAGAATATAAAATGTTATTTTCCAAAACTGTTAATTAAATGCTGATATTGATTCACAATTACTGTAATATTTCCTAAGGATGTTAAAGTTAATAAAGAAATTTTTCTCATATCTTTTAAAATTTGTTTATTTTTCAAATTAAAAGTTGGACCTTTTTATCATGTCATGTAAAAATACTTCTGCCCATGTAAATTGAATAGTTTGATTTTCTTTGAATTTATCCAAATTACTGCAAAATTTACATATTTGTAATGATTTGGCTTGTTAAATTTCATAACTTTTTGATTTTTCTATACAAGAAATATTGTTTCTTCAATTAAAATATACCAAACTTGAATGATGTCACATTTTATTATGCAAGTCAATGTTCTTGCAATAAAATTGGAAAATGTTAAACATTTCAGGATATATTTTTCATATAAATATACCTTGTTAATTTCAGTTTATAAATAAAATTTTTGTAAGGAATACTAACAATATTTTATGTAAGTAGAAACCGGAATGCTGTTAATATTACAAACATCTATAGTGATATTTGTTTTAAATTTCAGATGCATAAAAATTACCATGGGTCATTAGAAAAATATTCCAAAGTTATTAAATGATAGGAATATAACATTGGAAATTGCAAAAAATGTTGGAGAATTTTCAAAAGAAGAAATTGAAAACTTGGACAAGATATAAAAACAAGAAAAGCAGATTGATCAATCAGAAGAATTTATTTTGCAGAAAATTTAGAATGTCAAGAATATTTGCTAAGGAAAGTCAAAAGCAACCAAAATACTGCTTTTAAACAAACATCACAGAGAGAAACATTTAAGTTAGATGAAGAAGTACATGGAAATTGAGTTCCAATTTATATCATCTATCCTTATTAAGAATATTGATAACTTGTTTTGGGTGTATTAGGAGTTATTATACAAACTAAGTATAATATTTATTTATTTATAAATAAATCCAAAATATGTATACCATAAGGAAAGATATCTGATCAAAACAATATCTCATATAATTGAATAAATTATTTTATATGTTAATACGTGCTCCTTAACATTTTATCTTTCATCTGTCTCTTTCATTGATTTTAACTTTTCTATTGTTTTGACTTTAACATTACTTGCAGCAGATCTTTACATGAATATTATTTTTGATATTCATATATATATATATATATATTTTAATGATGGAATACAAGTTTTCTATTGGATTGATATTTAGGGAGGCTGGTGTTACGTCTGGCACAACACAAAATAAGATGAAACATTCTTAGAAATTAAAGTTTAAGGAGATTACATGTAATAACGAAAAGTGGGTTTTATTTAACATATAATACAATATTTTTTATAAACAGTCGGGCTGAGGTTTAAACAATATACATTGGGAAATGCTAACAAGTTAATAAGCGTATGAGAGCCCAGAAAGTAGTTGGCTTAATGTGTAGCTATATGAGGGAGTGGGAGAGGAAATCCTTATACAGTTGAGATTAAGGCAACGGATGGGAATTCGTTGCTAGTCAAAGAATCATTATTTTCTCAGAAAAATAGATATTCATATGTATATAAAATAAAGGAGTTTGGTCAATAATATGAAGGAATAAAAGGTGAAGTATTTATCGATAGTCTTTTCTTTTCGAGGACTGTCGGAACTTAGATTCTTTCGGTCAAAGCTTTGTCCATGAATCAAAAGGATCGGAGTCAACCTCAGTAGTCGTGGCTGTGGGTTCAGGAGGCAGCTGGCTCGTTGGTATGAACTCCTGTTTATAAATTTTTTTTTGTACCCTCTAGAACCTAGTAGAAGTTTCGAGAGACTTCTAGCAAGTTCCATTCTATTATTATGAAATCTAAAGGGTTTGGTGAATGGGAGCTTTTCGTAAGGTAAAAAGGGCATCTAGTAGCTACAGATTTTTTTTAAGTTATCATTTTAAGTTAGGTTTTGTATTTTAGTGTAAGTGTAAAGAAGTAAGACAAAGTGGAGCCTTGTAACACTGTGGGGACCCATTCTATTAATTTTGTTTTTGCAACCTTGTTTGACAACGTGGGAAATAGCTTTCCAATGATGGAGCATTGTCTTGCATGAATAGACTATTTAGCTTAATGCTTCTTACTTGTGATCACTCAAAGAATGTCTTGTTGAAGAACTTGCAATAATTTTCTGCATTTATCTGAATACCATCAGCAACTTTGATGGGTCTTGTAATTTTTCTACCTACAGTATTACTCCAAAACGTTAATCTTGTTTTCAATGCTTTCTAATTAAATTTATTCAGCTATTATAATAAGTCTCAAACTCTAACCCAGCCATCAGTTTCATCCCCCAAAATATTTTTAAATTACTGGTATTCCTTTGCTCGACTTACAGATTTCTCATCATGATGTTTAACTGTAGTAGTTTGGCTACAGACATGAAAACAACCAATCTTTAGACATTTTTAAAGCAAGTTTTTTTTTTTTTTTTTTTTTTGCTGTTTTCACTTTCTTTTTTGATTGTGCTTTGGTCTTTTCAAAATTTCCGATGTTCTTCAATCATTCAGTAACTTAATATATTTTTTCTCTTCTAAGGGTATTTTTTTTTTTTTTTTTTTAACTGAAATTAAAAGTATCAGAAACTACACAACAAAAGAAGCTGTAAAATAAACCTGATCCTATATCAGTAAGTGTTGCAATGCCTGGGTGATCGAGGTCTTCATAATGGTTTAACTGCAGTACTCCCATAGGTTCAGGCAGTCCAATTGCTAAACAATGCCATTCTCTATCAGAATTGCATCAATTGAGTTCAGTGTCGTCGTGCTTTTGGCATAGTCTGCATTAAAACCCTTGGTGCAAGAAATTTTCAATCATGGATTCCTTGTGAATGCTCCACAGGTGAAGAGCATTTGCAGGGTTCTTATACGTGCACAGAGCAGCAAATGTAAGGGCATCTGACAGGCAGCAGCTTCTGGGTCATCGTTTGAGAGAAGACCATATCTTGGGCATACTGCATTAAATATTGGCAGTTTCTCCTTCTACAGTGCAAATCCTGGAAGCTCCGTCACCTGAAACATGCAGCAGCAACATTTGCAAGTGAAATTTTTCTGTCTCTCTAGGGCTTACTGTCTACATTCTACTAATGATATTAGTATTCCTTTACCTTGGTGTCCATGTTCTAGTGCACTTACTAAACACACAATGCAGCAGGATATCAGGGTACAAGTGGTTCCTTGCATCATCATCATCATCATCATGTTCATTCAGTTTAAACATGGCAGTAAGGGTAGTATCACGGTCCCTCTATATATTTAATGCTTTTCACTGATGAACAAATTTTCAAAGCCTGTTGAAACACTATGAAACAGAGATGAAAGAATTGCAATCCCAAAAAGTTTAGTGGGTTTTCCCAGAAAGGGGAAGACAACCCTTAAAAACACATGACCTTTTAACAATAATGTCATTTAGAGGTGACCAGTTTTCTGAGGCCAATTTAATTTATTGAAATTTCATGAAATTAAGTAAGTAGGTTGTAATATAAAAAAAAAAAAAAAAAAAAATGTTTGGTTTACTACAATTTTCTGAAAAAGAAAAATCGCAAAATCATTTTATTCATTTCCGAATAAGTCCTGAAAGTTGCATTAAAATCCAACAATTATTTGATTTCTGCAAGAATTTCCAAATCAATGTTTTTCACCTGAAAAATAGGTGCAAAAACACTAATGTAAATATGACCTAGGTTGCCGACTTAAAAAAAAAAAACAAACAAAATTTCACCAAAATTTCAAACGTGC